GGCTCAGCCCTCGTTTTTAAAACACGACTTCTGAGGTTCGGCGGCTGACAGGGCTGTTCGCTCTCCGATGCCTCTTTCAGGGCGGACAGGGGTCCTGGTGCTGTACGGCCACAGAGCAGTTCGGGAGCCTGAGGCTCCGCTCGCTATGCAGACATTAAATATCCAGTCAGATCCCATCTCAGGCATTTTCACAGCCTAGTTTTCAGGGTCTGACTAAATCGCTCGACCAAGCCGGCAGTGTCTGGGTGGTCATGTGATGTCTTTAATCCCCCAATTCCCAAGAAGGTATACACATGTCCTAACAATGTTGAAGTGAAGTTCGGCCCCTGGTCTGTTATAATAAGCTCATTCAAGATCTGCTGGGTCTTAATTGTGTGTAAGGTGAAGGCTGTGGGACACTGGGTCACATAATCATGAATGACCTCAGCGTATCGATTCCCTGTTCTGCCTCTCTCCAGAGGCTGACGCTGGCCCCCGCTCTGTGAGAGGATGACCAGCAGAGGAGCGAGCAGGGCCCTGTCACCATGCTTGATGTTGCCTGTGCGCTGGCGCTCTGGACATGTCTGACAGGACTTATTGATGTCATTGCACCAGCCTGGACAATAAAATCGTGTGGCAGTTTGAGCCCGGGTTGTTATCTGGCCCATATCCCCTGCCCAGGTACGCCGTGGGGAGAGTACGCAGTGCGCCTCTCCCCGCAGGTGAGCTCTTCCTCCTGTTGAGCTCAGGCACAGCGCCGGCATCCTCCTGCTGCACTGGACTTCCTGGATCTCAGCCTCTCTCCCTGCTCCGTGCCTTGTCCTCTCTTTAGGGTGGTGCAGGTCATCTGCACAGGGAAAGGGAGTGGCTCCAGACTGTTTCTCTCTTTCCAGGAGCTGGTGCTTGCCCCAAGACCTGGTGGTGCCGTGTGCTTGAGGGCTTCTATCTGATCATCTGGATGATTCTGCCAGAATAGGTGAATCTTGCTCGAGGATCACTGGGCCTGGTGAGCTCTCGGTCATGTGCCCGTGGCCAGACTAGAGCTCTGTCCACCGACTTTAACAGCAGTGTCTGCCTCAGAGTTCCCCCTCATCTCCATGAATGCCATGAAGCCACACCTGTCAGGGGAACTGCACCCAGGCTGTTATCAGGTCTGCTCTGATCAGCGACTGTGCCCTGCCAGTCTAAAGTCCGCAGTTGTCACCGGGAGGATATAGTCCCTTGAGTCAGATGACTCAGGTGTGTGACGTACTGTACCCGAGTATCTTCACTGCAGGGACGGGACACTGGGGCCTTTCATGTTCCTTCTGTCTGCACTGTAACAGACAGGCACTGCTGCCTTGCTTTCAGGGGCCTCTCATCTGCAGGGCCCTGCCCATTCCCTCGAGACTCTACCCAGCCAGAGAGCGATGGGCTCTGAGCTCTGTACGCTCACATCCAGACCTTTCCTCCTCACAGCCAGGTGAGTCCTGCCACTTGCTCAGAGGAGACGGGGCTCTGCTCTTCAATCCAGATCTTCACATCCTGTGGCAGCACACACAGGACCTGCTCCAGGACGAAGGCATCTTCAGTCTCCTCTTCTGATCATAACTGTGGCTGCAGCACTTGTTCTAGACAGAAGGAGCCGCTCAGAGTGAGTGGCAGCAGCTGAACTTCTCTCTGACCATTGAAGAGTGACAGGTGGCTCTGGGGGTGTGTTAGATATTAGTGAAAT